AGCCACTGCAGCATCAGCTTGACCCCTGGCAGGTACCTAACCCACATGGTTCTGTAGACTTCTCCTGTCTCGCCCACGGCTCCCCTCAGTGATGTATTTCAGTCGATCCATCTGTTCTGCTCCCCACTCTGTCTCTGGTGAATCCTTTCACGGTCCCACACCTCTGGGCTACACCCCAGCTCTTGTATGCATAAATTATTAAATATTTAAAAATATGACTAAAAACTATATTATCTATATGTGGGGAGGAAAATGACCTGTCCAAGAGAGAAGATGGCCTGTCCAGGAGGAAGAATGAAGCCTGCCCAGAGGCAAAACACAAAGGAGGGTTCTAGAGAGGACTCAGAAATCTCTGTGGTCATTCAGTTACAATGACAGCACTTAGGGCAACTGTATGCCTTTGACTCTGTAAGAAACAGGTAATTTATAATATTTTTAAAAAAGATTTTTATTTTATTATTTTTATGTAGAAGAACTGGGGTGTAGGCCAGCGGTGTGGGGGATCAGGGGATTCACCAGAGACAGAGTGGGGAGAAAAACAGGCAGATTCATTGAAATACACTGCTAAAGGAAGCATTGAGTGAAACAGGAGTGGTCTGCTGTGCCATGCATGGGTTAACTCCCTGGAGGGGGATCAAAAAAATTCAGGCTGCTTGCCAAGGAAGGGGTTTCACTGTGCTAGGGCTGAAACTTAACCCCTAGGCCACCAGGAAGGCCCTAAGCAAACTCTTATGGCTGTAGTTACTTATAATTTATCTAGTATAAATAGACTTTACATATAAATGATATTGGTAATAATTGACAATAGTACCTATCAAATGAATCTCAAATATATTGGTTTATTTGACATAAGCACATGGTGAGCTAAATGCTGAAGGGTTAGGATCTGTAATATAGATCCCACAACCAAGGATGTTTCCCAAACTAAAATCTCCACAGCACCTAGATCAAAGTAACCAGAAGTATTCTTTGAAATGGACATTGCTTAAGATGAAATGTTGATAATTGCAGGGCCTCCCTGGGTGGCACAGCAGTTGAGTGCTGGGCTTCAAAGCTGCAGGGCCGGTTCTATCCCTAGCTGCCAGAGAGGGTCCCACATGGCCTGCAGACCTCTCCTGCCACGCCCAACTCATATAAACAATTCTACTAAAAATGGGCAGAGGAACTGGACATTCTTCCAAAAGTGCTGTACAGATGGCCACCAAGGTACATGAAAAGGTGTTCAACATTAGAAATCACGAGGGAAATGCAAATAAAAATTTAATGAGATAACTCCTCAAGCCTGCAGAATAACTAGCACCAAGAAGACAAAAATTAAGAAATGTCAGTGAGGATGTGGAGAAAATGGTACCCTCGTGCACCGTTGGTGGGAATACAAACTGGCACAGCCTCTACAGAAAATTCCCTGAGACTTCTCAAAACATTAAAAACAGAACTAACATTTGATCCTGCAATTCCATTTGGGGGTATATATCTGAAGTAAACAAAATCACTAGATCAAAATAAAGCTGCACTTCCATTTCACTGCATTTACAATAACCAAGAACAAAGTATCTGGTGATGGATGAGTGGTTAAGAAAATGGGGTATATGCATGCAGTGATGTGTCATTCACTTATAGAAAAGAGTAACATTCTGCCACTTTCAATAACATGAATGGACTTTGAATCTATTATGCTAAGTGAAATAACTCAGAGAAAGATAAAGATTATATGATCTCACTCATATATAGAACCTAAAAAACATAATACAAAGAGAGAAGATATTGAGTTGCCAGAGGTGAATGGTGGGGGATGCAGGAAATGCTGAATGTGAACGTGAAAAGACTATCAACTTCCAGCTATATGATAAATCAGTTCAGGGGATATAACATTCAGCTTGGTGATTATATTTAACAGTATTATATTGTATTTTTGAAAGTTGCTGAGATTATAGATCTTAAAACTCATCATGGTAAAAAAAAAACGTTATAACTATGAGATGGTGGATGTAAATCAAACTTAGTGTGATAATAATTTTGCAATATATACAAATAGCAAGTCATTATGTTTACACCTTAAGCTAACTCAATGTTATGTCAATTATATCTGAATAAAATGGGAACAATAAATAAATTTGACTTTCCTTGTTACTATGGCTAACCTAGCATTTCTCAGGTTGAGACCAAGAATCTAAATTATCATTAGTCTTCTGTATGATCCATAGGCATTAGCTGAGATTTCTAAATTGCTCTAAAGGGTCATCAGCCTAATAAAATGACTGGCAGCAATACCAATTTTACAGAAAGACTTAATTCCCTTCATTTTAAATGCCATTGTCCAGTTCTGGCTATCTAGATGTTAGCAAGACTTTGCAGTCTCATATTAGAAAATAGAAACCTAAAGTATTTGAAAAGACCTTCAAGATATTGTTATACTAATTTCTTAGATCCCTTTTTCCAGCTGTTATTGAATCCAATATCTGAATTCAATTTCCTTTATAGTAAAGCAAATCTCTCTCATGATCTAATAATGCTGTGCTACAATTTAAACCTACTTCCTTCTATTATGACCTTAGGATGAGTGCAAAAAGACTTCATGCCTTTAACCTCTGTTAAAGTCCCCAAATCAGAGTAACAAATTTAGCTTCATGCATCTTGAGAGATCAAACACTAATCCATAGTGATTGTGTCAAAATAATTAGATGTTTGAAAGTAATTTATCTTTCCTTAATTTTTTTTTACTGAAAGCCAGTAAAAAACAAACAAACCAAAAAAAACAAAAACAAAACAACTATTCAAATTTATATGGCTAAGTTAAATTTTTTTCCCATAAAGTTGCTCTGTGGACTAAAACCTTGTGTAGAGGCATTTATCCTATTATTACAGATGAATACGATGCTTAAACTTCTCCTTCATGGCTGTTAAGGCACAGTAGAGTCAATTCATGCCCAGGGAGTTTTAATCACAGATCATCATCCTGATAAACAGTAAAGAGTCAGTGTGGGTTATCAAGTCAACAGCTACTGGGGGAGTTTTTAATGGGAGCATTGCCAGCATGCAGTTCATAACTACTTTCAAGGAGCACTTGTGGTCTAATGGCTAAAAGAGGATTATTACAGTATCTTTACATGTAGCCTTTCCTCCAGAAATTCCATATTTAAAGGAAGCCAGTTATTGTAGTCAATGCATACAGCTGAAATTGCTGGAGTGATGGAAATATTTTCAATGGTTTAAATTAATACTGGTGAAAAACAAGTTAATAGTGAGGTTGAACTATGAAATTTTAATTTTTTTGTGGTACACTGTATCACATATAATCACAAATGAAGTATTAAAGTAGGATCATGAAGTGACTATCATATAGCAAAAGAACAAAAAGAATCATGATAACCATCAAGAGCAGGCTGGAGAAGGGAGAGATTTCTGGTTGGTTAAAACTGACATTTAACAGATTTTTTTATGTTGCCCCAGGTGGCATTCATCATATGCCTTGTTTTCTTTTTAAAAACTCAATTTGCAGCCTTAAGCCCCAAATCAGAAACTATAGAAACTGTTCTTAAAGAACACTGCATAATTTAAAAAGAGCCATTATGACCAAGATGAAGAACAGGGAAGAAATAAGAAGAAAACCATTTGAAAAAATAAGACATTCATAATTCATTTTGAGTTTCCTAAAAGTGAAAATGTTCTCCTGAAATGCTTGGAAGAGAATAGCAGAAAATATAACTTAACTAATGAACAAAAGAAAAAAAAAAGCAAATAAATCCAAAAACAAACAAACAAAAACCCACATATAAAAATCTCTTTTGTAATCTGTAAATCTTTTAGAAAAATACTGGAGTATGCAAACTGAGTAAAACAATATCCTTGAGGGTGTAGATGTGAGGTTACCAATAGGTTTCTATTAGTCAGCACAGTAATTAAAAGCAATCAAAATTTGAAGATTGGAAGACTGAGGAAGTCCATCCTCCACGTTCTTTCACATGAAACTTCTTCATAGAGCTGATAACCAACCTCTAGCCACTTGAGGTTGGGGCCCCTCTTAGAGGTTCTTACCAACTGTGATAGGGCAGAATATTACAGCTGCTAGAGTCACAGAGACCATCTAGTCGAACAGCTCATTCAAGGTTGATATGACAGAAATTAAGAAGAAAAACAGGGATGTAGTTTAAGGTTGCCATTAATAAATCAGTAAAACTACTGTGTAATTTCAGTTGCTCAGGCACCCAGCAACTTGCTGTTTGACATTATAAGACTAATGTACAAGATTGTAGCTGTATATTATAGTGATATGCTAAGGTAACCTTGGCCTAAAAGAATTGGTTTATCAATCTGAATATTAATCATTAATTGGTTTCACTATTGGTCCCTGTTGCTGGAGAATAACAGAAATACCCTGCTTTATAATTTTCTACTTGGTAAAAGCCACAATATCTAAATACACACTGGTACAAAGACTTCTTCTGCTTTCATTAAGAATTTACACAAAACCTTTTAAGATTCTGGAATTTTGAAGTATGATTAAGCTCGCCATTGCTTCAAAATCAGGCAACTTTCTGGGAATACAGTGCTATCTTAATATTAGCTGTAGTATTACTGAGACTAAAGAATAAAATCATGCATATATACTCAATAGTTAAAATGTTTTCAGGACATGTAAACCTAAGAAATCTATTCCTCGCAGTCTCTCTTTTTCAATGAGGATTCTGACCATGAATCAGTATCAGATGCCCATTTGATGAAAATGAACAATTCAGTATTTTCTATGAACATAAAACCGGATACACTAAAGAAATCTCATTAAGTAACAATGAGTACTTGTAAAACATTTAGTACCTTTTAAAAGAACCTCTACAACATTAATTGTACAGACACTGTTAAGTTGACAGTTTGCTAAATATTTTTATATCAGATTCTGGGTCATGTTCAAAAGAAAAAGCACTGATGAATCTTTAAGAATGATCTAAAAAAGGGAGAGAGTAATTCTTGAAATTGCTGTTAAGTATAAACACACTCGTTACCTCATATTCCTGGGAAAACTTCAAGTTGTCATTTGCTTTCAACCTTTCAATGTGATCTGCAAGTTCCAAGATAGGTATTGGAGGATGGCTAGCCATACCTATTAAAAGGAAAGAAGAAATACACTTGAACACAGATGAAAATGATGCCAACAATTCCAAAATATAGAGAATACTATAGTTAGAAATGGCCTGAAAATATGTGAGTAGTCAAGATGTTTAATGTGAGGAAGCAGGCAGATAGTTTGGTTACTCAAAGCAGGACATGCTCTGGAAGGATGAATTGTGTAGCCAAATGAAAAGTCACCAAGCATAATCCCCAAGCTAACACGCCTAGTGTAAAAGAAAGCGTTATTGTGTTATGAATTAATGTGGTTAGCTAGCGGAGAAAACTGACGGTCAGGCTTGATGTCAACTTCTGCTTTGAGTAATGACTGTTATGTCATTTCAAACTCCTTCTCCTGCACTGTGTGAAATGGAAATTGTGTGGAATTAAATGGTGTAAAGTGAACTAAGAAAAAGACACTGAGAAAGGCCTAAAAGGGAAAGAAGAGTAGCCTGATAGGAAACATAAAGTGACATATGCATAATCAAGGAAAACTAACTTGAAGAATGAAGGTTACCAGGGTAACCGGAATCATCTGAACCTGCAAAGGAAATGATGGTGTAAATAAAATAAAATAGAACGAGTTTGTTAAAAAAAATGAAATGGATAGTCTGATACACTTCTTAAAAGGATTAAAAAATGCTGCAAGTTTTTAAAGGACTCACTATACATTGTGACTAGATTTAGATCGCTTTAATAATTCACAAACCTGTAGGTGACTGACATCCACATGCAAACATGGACACAAAGAATGACATGCACCACAGCTCATAGACGATAATCACTGACAACAAAATCAGACACCAAACTGATTTTCAAAAATGTTTCCACTAGTAGCAGATTGTAGAGGTTGGGGTTGCAGCCTTCTCCTGAATATTTATAGATGGCCACACTTAACCGATCTGTGGAGTTTGCCCCAGGTCCCCATTATTCAACCCCCAGCAAGCTTACAATCTACTTCAGGTGTAAACATCTTTGTCCACTAATGGGAAATGAATACAGGAGAGTGAGCAAATGGTCAAAAGATAAGGAGCGAGAGAGGGTAGGGAAAGAGAAGTAGTGACAGGGAGGTGGCACATCTTAGTTCAGTCTGCTAGCTGAAGATATATCAGTTTTATAGTTGAAAATAATCCACTATTAACATAGGTGATTCCTGTGTCTTTCAATGTTTTCTCACTTTTGTATGAAGTGCATTTTATTTCCTCCAATTAATTTTTCAAGAGAATATTGAGAGAGCATTGCTGATTCATGTTTTTTAAGCACAAATTCCAGCTGGCTAGAAAATCTTGAACCAGCGTGCCTCCAGGAAAGCCTTTGAAGAAGAAAAAGAATGAGTGGGGTGGGGGGCTCAAACTGGAAGCCATGTTGACATTCTGCAATCTCCAGAACTCTCTGGAGGGTGTTAGGCTGCAGACCAGAGACCATTAAATCAACATGATGTGATTTCTATATGGCCTTTTTTGAAATCATGCCATTTTTTGAAGTCACCCAGTTAAGTTCCTTTATCTCAAATGCCGAATTACTAATGATTCTGCTAAGTTAAGTAAAATGTTCTTTTGCTTCTTCCAGATTCTCATTTTAGTATTTCAGCAAAGGGTTGTAGACTGTGGTGTTTTAGCATTCAAGGCTATGAAGGTCTGCTTTCAGTAAGCTAAAATCTTAACGTTAAGTTCCAAAACAAACAAAAGAGTAGGCTTGGAAGTAGAAACTCTTTGTTGCTGATAAAATTATGCATCTGGACAAAAATATTGGAGCTCATTTTTGTAACTTCTCCAAATAGATGGTAGAATTGAACTAATTTACTCTTTGTGGAAAGAGTAGGTGGGTGACAGTGGTCTGATAAAAGTGATCTTATCCAGATGAGGCACCCCCAATGACAAGACAGAAATGCAAAGGCACAAGAGACTGCCCCATTTCCATGTAGAAATGGGAATGAAATGATGTCAACATCCATTACAGTGCTTTAACAGAGAAAATAATAGAGACAAAGATGTTTAGACCTTTTCGAGCGAATCGTGGGAGGGAGTTATTATCATATATGGACTGAGTGGTGGTTTGGCTAGAGAGGGAGGACACAGAGCCAATCAGGGAGGCGTAGGGGACTGAATTACTGCTCAAAGCTGCAAAAAGTAAAGCCAGTTGGAGATGGGAAAAGTATTAGTATAACAGCAGTAGAAGACCATATTAATCAACCAAAGATGTGATAAACATATTTACTTGTGTCATGCACTCGCAAATGTCTGAAAGCATTACTTTGGAATCATCTAAGCAAACCTACTCTGGCTCATTCATTCTAAATCAAGATATATAATATACATATATTACATGAAAAGATACCAAAGCATTCAAGAATCATAATTTAAGATTTGTCTGTATGTACCATATTGTACCAAAGTTCTAGGGCAACTCATAATGGCAGGAAGGATGTTTTACAGAACAGTGGGCAGAACTGGTGGGAATACCATGGAGCAGTAGAAGGAATCCTGGACTAGAATAATGGACATGAGTTCTACTTCAGCTCCTGTCACCGACTAACAGGGATAAATCACTGGTTTTCAAGCAACTCCATTTCTGTATCTGTATAATAAATGTGCAGGGTTAAATGAATTCTTGAGTCATTTATTCCTTTATTGCTCTCATTTCTACCATGTGCAGATAGGATTTCTGAACACATGGAACAGAAAAGTTGTGTGGAACATGGACACAGTTCATCTAGAAGTAAAAATTACTGCACCTTTTCTTTGAAGGGTGGAGAACACTTATTTTTTACACATGAAAAAACTATGATGCACTTGAATTGTCTGCTTTTTTATACTATTTTAATATTACTTTTCTGGCTAATCAAAATATATTTCATGATGTTATACCATGTATTTGAAAATACTAAAAAGTCAACATAAGCTAAAGAATAAACCTGGGTTGAAACTTCTTTCACATGAAACTCTAGCTCCTATCAGAAAATAATCAAGGGTTTAGTAGTGTTATATAACCCCCCCCAACTTCTCCATTGTTTAACATTGAAAAAAATTTATGAGACAATCAAGCATGTTAGATTTGAATGATAGTGCAGAGACCAACCTGATCATTATTTACATTGAGCAAATGAAGGTTTTTGTAAGCCAGTGTTTTTACATCAGCATCATTTCAGCTTTGAAATTCCTTCTTTCCAGATTACACACTAGACCAATTAAGTCAGAATCTCTGGGCATAGGAGCCAGGCATTGATACTTTTTTAAGTTCCCTAAGTAATGGCTCTCAGTTCTATGGGAATCTTGATGGGAGGGCTATAATGATTTATTTGTTTATTTTTCATTCAAAATTCATACCAGAGTTTATGAGAATGAGATCAGCTTTTTCTCAGTGTTACTCTTGAATAGCTTCTGATTTTCCATTAGCAAGTTTGAGTACTCTAGTTATTATTAACAGCAAAGACCCTGAAGTGCAGCTCACAACTGATGAGGACTTGCCAGAGTCATGATGTCATCAGTTCAAAGCTACAAATACACAACATAAATGCATTTATGCACAGAGCTTTCATTTTGAAGATAGGATAGCCACAATATAAACTGCCAAACTGAAACTGGTAGTCACTGATATTTGCCTAGGCTAGAGGAAAACCTAAGATGGCTAACAAGGAACACATCTGTGTTGGTAATGTAATAGTGGTTTCTTCATAAAGAATAAAATCATGGCATCTGAAGCAGAGAGGTGCCTTAGAGAATACTTAACCCAGCATTTCCATTTTATATAAGAGGACTCTCAAGACTGTGAAAGCTAAATGACTTGTGCATGTGAGGGCAGCTAGTAAACAATGAAATCTTAACAAGTAGTTTTGACATCTTTCTGCTATATTATTTCTAGAATGGCAGTCATGATCTTCTACAGCAAGCAATAAAATTTCTACAGGTTGAAGGAGCCAGGTTGGAAAGGTAAATGGCTGAAGATGACTAGGTATTATAAATACTTTCACAAAGAAAGGCCCTCATCCACATTGCCTTGACATAAACACCCTCTAAGACTATATTTCCCTACTTTCAGCATAGGGTGGGAAAAGAGAAAGAAATATGTTTCTGCTAAATGAAAAATAAAAATAAACATGCAATGAAGGGCAACTAACCTGTCTCAATGTCAGGGTTATTGTTAGGACTAGTATAAATGGTAGGGGATTTCTATAAGGGTGAGTCTACTCAGCTCTAGCAGACACCCTCCAAGTGGTACCATAGGGCCAAGAGGGTGAGATTTTCCAGATTTTTAACAGCAACTGCTAACCCCATATTATTATGTGCTGTTACCTCAGTTTTCACTGCTGACTCCAATTCTATTGAAATCCAGTGGGGGAAAAAAGATAAAATCATTGCAGATCACATTTGGCCAACTAGGCTGTGACCTGTGTTTTGAAAGAGGTTTTGTGTGTGTGTGTGTGTGTGTGTGAGAGAGAGAGAGAGAGAGAGAGAGAGAGAGAGAGAGAGAGAATTACAATCAAAGGGTGAGATTGATAGAATACACGTTTGTACCCCAAGACAATGAGCTAGATATGAAGTCTTGTGTGGGGGTTATGGCAACACATGCTTTTCCCATGTTTCATCCTCCGTGGGTTCATCTATTTTTCCTTTCACTCCTGCACTAATTTTACCAGTTAGGTAAAAGAACTGCAGAGAGGTCAAGGGACTTGATTATGGTAATCATTTATCAGCAAAACTACAATTATTTGGGGAATTTATTTCCAGACTTTGCCACTTCTCATTTAGAGCACTCTGGTTTTGCATGCTGTCTCTTAAATCACTTAACACCCCTGGAAGGGTGGTGTCACGTATATAAATATGGGCTCATCATACGGTTTGAGCTATTCATGCAGTAACACAGAGATCAATGATCCTCAGCTTGAGAAAATGAAATGTGTCAATAATGTAAAACCTCATTGAGAATGGATGTCTGTTTTGGTGATGGGAAAGAGAAAAAGAAGTTTCATACATGTAACTGTATCTTTTACTACTACTTGTCAAAACATTGTTAGCTAAAGGTATACATTCAAAATGTAAAAACCAGTTGGGCTCTTTAGCAGAAGATTTAAAAAAACCCAATTTATAATATTTTTGTTTTGAAATATTATTTTACTAAGTCAGTAACCAACAGTACGCCTCAAGTGACTTTCTTGTCTACAGAGGGATGATTATGTCTTTGCTTCAGCAGCACATATAATAAAACTGGAACAACATGGAGAAACATTTATCAAATATTTGTATTGCTTTGGAATGTATTTTTTTAAACTCCACACTAAATGCCAATAGCACATTTCAACTTTATAACTATTTTGCTAAGTGAAGCCTTTGCGATCCTTACTAATGGTGGACCATCCTTTAAATGAGTTTTTCTCTTTCTATATATGAGTAATGACTCAGTAATATCCTTCACATGGCTTATCTAACAAACTGTGATATAGGCTGGAAAACGGTTTGTGGTAATAGAAAAAGAAGAAACTAGTTTGCTCATCAGATCAATGACTGCAGTGATATCCAAGTATTTTTAACTGACTTAATATAG